GATTACTCGCCCTGAATATCCTCATGTGTGCTGCATATATTGCTGCTAATTAATTTGTTATCCTGAATCTCTTGAGCAGTAGAGGATACTTCATACACTGTATTAATTTGTTTCTTCATTGATTTTTTGATTTGGCTTTGTTGTACCTCTACCTTGTTTGATGTTTGCATTGAGTCTGGCTCATAATTTTCCACAACTATTTGAACTTGTTGTGTCTCATCGGCCAGACAATCAAAAGAATTGACAGTCGCCACTATATTTTTACCATTGGATTCTGCTTCTTCAATCCTATCCATGATGAAAACCTTTTTAATTGGACACCATTTTTTGATGAACTTTTTATGTCTCTTGTTGATCTTCTGATATTTCTCTTGAGCCTGACGTTGAGGTAGCTCCCCTTCCTCTTGAACCTCTTGTTCTCTAGCTTATTTTAATTCAGGATGAATTGTTCTACATTCTTCTTCATTGTGTCCTTGCAGCTTGCAGGTGCGACAATACTTAGGTAACAAGTCATACTAGATTTTGATCTTCTCAATCCTTGTACTCTGCTTTCCTGGACTAATTACTTTTATCTCCACCCACTCCGGAAGATTTTCAATAAGGTCTACCTGAACTTTGACTCTCGCACAACTTGGGCGTGTCTTATAAATTGTTGCCAAGTCCAATTGCACCGGCTTCCCCACAGCCGATGCTAATGAGAACAAAGTTGCTTTGCCATAAAAGTGGGCAAAAATTGCGGGAAAGAAATCCAAGCCATAGCTTGAGTAGTCTCCTCCTCTGGTTTGAAATTTTCATCATAGATTAACGGCTGCATTTGATACGCATATCCATCTTTAGCAATAATGTAATAAGCATTTTTTGACATTATGTTAATGAAATCTTCCATCTGGCTTAATCTGATTAATATATGTATATTCCTTAACAGACCAATATTACAATTTCATTTGATCTGTAATTGCTTAGGAATCTGCACTCTCAGATCATCTAGTTTTGGCCATCCATAAAAGAATTTACCAATAACTGCAAATTGTAGATTCTCAAGTACATTTATTCTATTCACTTCCTCCTACGTCCATGTGACTCTGGGCACTCCTTCTGCGTATTGAATTTGTTTCATTTGGATTGGTGGAACCACACCATGATTTCTTCGATGGGGGCGTTGAGTCCTTAACTAGTTCATCATAGTTTACCTTTCCAAGACTCACCTGTGAGGGTCCATCATTGTTATCTTCCTTCACCGGCAAACTGTTGGGATGTTGAAGTATTGAAAACGAAATATTGGAATAGAGAGGCAAAGCCTGACCAGCAACAGGGGGCTGGCCTGCGGCCGAATTGGTCATTCCAGTAGCTAATAATCAGAAGAAATTAGGGTTGAGAAGAAATAAGTTCTTCCACCCTTCGCCAACGTACTAGTTGAATGCTAGGGGAAAAAAAATAGTAAACAAGATTAGCTGTTATTGCAAAGCAAATGCATCATCTCTTGTACCCCCACCTCAAAGGAAACTTTTTAAAAATATACCGTTCAACATAAAATATTGCATCTACGTACCATATTTTCAGTATGCACTCTCACAACCCTTTTTTTTCGCAATAACATTTGTACACTCAATATGCAATAGTATATACTTATTGTACTCAAAGTATCAACTTTATGTAAAAGTGCATTAGAGGTATTTATATATGTTTTATATTGTTCTACAAAATTGTATAATACTAGTGAACTTTTCATGCCTCGCACTTCTAAATGATCTTAGTTAAAAAGAATAATAAAAAAAATAAGGTTGTATTTAGTTGAGTTTTACTTTCTAATTATTTCCTATCATGTATATATCATTTAACAAGGGAAAAGATAAGGATAAATGAGAGAAATTTATTTTGTTCTGCATAGGGGTATCAAGATAAAATGAAAAACTGACCGAACTTAATCGAATCAAATCAATTTATATCATTTTCCAATAAAACTGTGGAATTTTATTTAAGTGTATAACCATCCCGAACAATTGGGATAATCTTTTAATTTATAAAAAAAAAACAATTTTTTTTTGAACCTAACCGAATAACCTCACGTGTATGTAAATATATTTTATATATTAACAATATGTTAAATTTAATGTATAAATATATTTTATAACATTTTTCTAATATAAATATAACATATGTCCTAGGCTTTTGGTGACGGGACGACTTTGGGTCTTTACTCATTAATTAGCCTTTAATTAATTCGGTTTACAATTAAAAGATACTATAATATATGCTCCATCAAACAATACAGTAAAACCTATGCAAGCACTCTTATTAAACGTTTAAGATCAAACAATACGACAATAAGCTTTTGCATTCTTGACTTTATTAGTGAAGAATTGAAGTGCTTTTCAAGAACATACTTGCGAAAGATATATTTTAATAATAGTACTTCTATTTTGAGGTGATATTTTAAAAGTAAAAAAAAAATGAAAATTAACTGAACTGTACCGATATCGAAGAGAAACCAATATGATGGGATGGTTTTAAAAAATTTAATTTTGGTTATACATTATAAAATACCCAAAAAATTGGGATGATATAATTTATAAAAATAATCGAGTGAACCATCCCATTGACACCCCTAGTTCTGCGTAAAGTATTCTGAATTAATTATTTAGTACAAATGCGAATGAAGTAAAATAGACATGCTTTCTTATTATTTTATATTTTTTTAAATGAATCGATCCGGCACCTGACCCCGACACATGATTCGGAACATGATCACTACTATCGACACGGGACCCGATATTTGAACTAGAATCCGACTTGACCCTGTCTTAACCCCGAAAACTGACTCGAGACCCATCCCCGACCTCAAACCCACACCCGACCCCAACACCTGACCCAAGACACGACCCCGACCAAACACCCGACCATGATCCCGAGACCCAACCTTGACCCAAGATGTGATACACGATCCGAGACCCGACCTCGTTGCCGGACCCTAATCCAACGCTCGACACTCAATCCGAAACCCCACATGAGAAAATTGGAAAACATTTTCCTTCATACAACACACAACCTAAAAATGTTCAAAAGAAAATAGATTCTAAATATTTTATATGTTACGTATGCACTCGAAGACAATTTTATTATATTAATGATGTACCGTGGATTTACGGTACTTACAATTCCACTAGGGTTTCATGTCATTCTCCATGAGTCCTATTTATTATGATTCAATTTTTTATATTCAATCTTATTGTGCATGATTTGATTCAATTCTATCTAAATTTCAATTGATTTCATCGGGTATGTCTATTTCATGAACTTGAATTATGAACAATCTTATGACATTATAAACTATGATCATGAATTTGATTTAGGAATTATGCATGTTTTATTAATAGAATGATTTACAGCTAAAGGATGCTTTTAAGATAAAGTGTCAATGATGTGTGAAAGGTTTTCTCACAAATAATGAATGTGATGGAGTTCTACCTTGGCAAGTAGATTCTCCTTTTTGGTGTGAGGTCATGTTGGATTCCATGTTATCGCTCACATTGTCTTATTGTTGGTTAATGGTAAATATCCCACAAATAAATTATGTTTTCTTCAAAGGTTTTATGAAAGTCTCTCAAAGCTTTATTATATTTTACTTGGTCTTGCATATCATGTTTACATTCATCATGCTATCATGCTTACATCTTATGCATTTCCCTATACTTAGTACATTCATCGTACTAGCTTGTCTCATAATATAATGTCTGATGCTCCTCCTCCTGCTCGTAGATAGCTTGGATTGTTCTATTAGCACATCGAATTGGTTATTTTATTGTCGTGGATGTTTTAATTATTTTATTGTCTTTTCGTTTCAGACTTGTACGTAGTGTATGGGTTACGTCCGAACCACTCTTATGTTGAAAGATAGGCTATGTCAGACATAGTATAGTACTCCGAACTTATGTTTAGATTTCTTATATGATATGAGACTTATGTTACCTATTCTCTCTTGTTGTATTACTTTTACACCATGCTTATATCAAGTGGCTTGTTTAGGATCTTTCAGGGTCTTATTCATCATGCCACGTATAGGGTGTACTTTGGGTCGTGACACGATCCCAACCCCAAGACCCGATCCCGACTCGAGACCCAAGACCCAAGACCCAACCTCGACCCTAACCCCGACCCAGGACCCGAGACTCGACCTCGACCTCAACCTAATACCTGATTCGAGACCCAACCCCGAGACCTGATCTGAGACCTGACCCCAACCCTGACACCAGACCTTGGCACCTGACCTCAACACCCAACTTGAGACTCGACCCTGAGACTCGACCTCGACCTGAGACCTAACCCTGACCCAAGACCCAACCTAGACTCGAGACCAGACCCCAACCCTAACTCAAAATTTGACCTCTAATTCTAACTTGAGATTCAGCTATGACTCAATCTAAAACTCGGGAGTTGGGTCTCCAATCGAGGTCAAGTGTCTGGTCTCGAATTGAGAATCAGGAGTCGGATCTAGGATTAGTATTGGATGTCAATATTTGAAACTTAAGTTAGGATGGAAAGTTGAGGTGTGAGGTTCACAATGATTTTGAAAAATGTTTTTCTTACTTTTAAAGGGAAGTCATTTTCCTTAAATTTGAGGAAAATAAGTTTATTTGTAAAAAAAATATTTAAGCCAATCAAATATGAGAAAATTGGAAAACATTTTTGGGAAAACATTTAAGACAATTTTATTTATCAACACCATAAATTAATTTCGTTTTTCCTAATTGGCAAAAGTAATTTAAAGTTCACGAAAAAATATATTTTAAAAGGTCATGTTCATTCCAAACAAACATTTCCTTTCGAACAGACACCAAATAAGTTCTGGACAACTTTTTTGTATGAACAGGCATCAATTCAATCCAGAAGTTTGGCTATAAATATCTAGGATTACCTTACTTTTTCAACATCAAAATTTCTCTACATATTTTCTTACAAATAAAAATTTGAGTGATTTGAAAACTAATCTTTGAGAAAATTTGTTAGGAAGAATTAGAAACATTTGTTTGGTTGAATATATATATATATATATATAAGTTTAATTTGTTGGAGAAATATGAAGAAGAATAATTTATTTTGTCATCCACAACCTTATTTCTAGAACGATAGAAATGCTGAAGAATGCAACGAGGGTAACAGCAAAACCAACATTCCAAGCAGTGCCTGCACCTCCTAAATGGATTCCGTAGAAAATATTTGCTGCTGCCAATATTATCAAAATCCTTCCCAGTGTGTAATGATACCAATTCCAATATTTTCTTACTTTTGATTCCTTTCCTGGTCGAACCAAAAATGCAATCACCTAATAACCAATCCATAATATATGAATTAATAAGTATTTTAATAATTCATAAGAGTAAAAATCAAGAGGTAGATGAAGAAATGAAACCTGCAAACAAGCAAGAACAAGAATGAAGATGCCAAGTGCTTTGTGTTTATCAACATGAGCGCTAAGACGATCTTCAAGAACGAAACCACATACAATACCAACAAATCCAAGGAGAAAGGCAAGTGATTGAATAGTTGTGTGAGAATAAAACCATATTGGATCATATTGCCTAAAGTATCTAGCAACCATGACCCCAATTGGTATCAAAATACCCCAGCTCAACATATTCAACACTCCATGACTTCTCCTAAGATTTCCATAAGGGCTCTTTGATTTACTTTCACCTGTTTAAACCATTCAAAAGTACTAATTCATTAATTTCTTCTCCCACTTCAAAGTAAACATGTAGTGTGATTTTGCATGTGTTCCCTCTCACCAACATATATAGATGCATGTCAGGTCAGCTAATTGGCCACATGAACTATTCCACCACACATTTGTACCTCCATCACCAACATAACCATATTGGGGTGTCAAAAGAATATGAAAAACTCATCGAATCGATCAAATCTAACCGAATCGAATTGATTTATATCATTTTCTCAATAAAATCATGGATTGTTATTTAAAAGATACTATAATAGATACTCCATCAAACAATATGATAAAATCTATGCAAGCACTCCTATTAAATGTTTAAGATCAAACAAAACAGCAATGAGGTTTTACATTCATGACTTCTTGGTGAAGAATTGAAGTGTTTCTTCAAGAACATACTTGCGAAATAAATATTTTGATAATAATATATTTTGAGATGATATTTTAAAAGTAAAAAAAAATAAAATTAACCGAACTGTATCAATATCGAAGAGAAACCGATATGACTGGGATGGTTTTAAAAAATTTAATTTTTGTTATACATTATAAAATAACCAAAAAATTGAGATGATATACTTTTTTTAAAATAACCAACCGAACCGCGTCTCATTGATACCCCTATAAGCATAGACATATTTTAGACAGGTCACATAATTTTGTACATCTCTATTAAAATTTGAACCTTAGTTGTAATTCTCCATTACTCCAGAGCAATGTTTTAAAAGGTAGTCTTGGAATTTCATTCGGATGAGCCACTCACAAAATGTCTTGAGGTTAATGTGTGGGGCTTAATTTTGTGAGGCTATATCCTAAACACCCAATTGCGCGTCCTAAACAGGCCGAATGCTCGAAACTCGCCTAACAATTCTTATACAAATTTTATATCAAATTTCTTAGATGAATGATGATGCTTAATGATTTTTTTTCATCTATAGAAGTAAGAAATTAAGAGTAATTCAAATAGCAAGTTGTAATATTACATATTCATTATTTGAGAATACTCTGAGTTTGAATATCACTTAACATTTTTAAAAAAAATACATAGTTAAATTTTACATCTTCGTTTGTCATTAATCATCATGTTTTTGTCTTGTGTCTCAAAAATATTATACTTTATTATTTTAATTGCTACTTAAAAGTAATTTTATTTTTATTCGTGGAAGAAGTGATGATTTAATTATAAACTAATAAAATTTATTTTTTATTTAGAAAAAAATGCATAGTATGATAACAATATGTTTTTAGAAATTGTGATTATTTTATTGTTTGAAAGTTAAGATGCTAGAGTTAATTTGCATCTCATAATAGCTTTTATATCATTGGATTATTTATATTAGGGAAGAGGACCTAATATACCCCTCAACTTTGTCATTTAGAATTGATATATTCTCATTATTAAAAAAGCTCATAAATATCCTTATTATTAAACAAATGACTCACATATGATCTTTTCCTCTAATGAGAGTGGAAAAATTAATTTGAAATTAATTTTTTAAAAATTTTTATTAAAAAAACCATTCATGTAGATGTTATATTTGGTTATTCTCACACGTTTTTTTCGACTTCTTTGATTCAACAACTAATTTAAATTTGTTATTTTGATGGTTAATTTTTTTTCACTAACTTTCTTGTAAAATTTATCGTAGATGCCGCAATTTTTTTTACATATGTGAAAAATAAATTACTATATAGTCACAAGAAAATTAGTTTTAAATTTTTTTCTTACTTTTTTCCTCTTTTTTTCATTCACTTTTTTCTATTTATTTCTCATATTTTACACTAAAAAATGCGGAAAAAAAATGAAATAAGAATAAGAAACTTAAATAATAATAATAATAATCAAAGAAGTAAAAAAAAAAACATGTGTGAGAACTGAGAAGGATCATATATACCCCTACATGAATTTTTTTTTAAAAATCCAAACAATAAATTTAAATCAATTTTTTTCACTTTCATTAGATAAAAGGGGTATATGTGAACCACTTTGTAACGGTATGATATGTATGAGTCACTTTTATAACGAGGGTATATCAACTCTAAATAAAAAAGTTAAGAGTATAGTATGCCATTTTTCCTTTATACTAATATAAAATCATGGTAGAAGTTTTTTTTTTAATGAATTTTTCTTTAATTGTATTTTAAATTTTTCTAAAAGTATTATTAATGTACTTTTTATAACTTTTATGTTTTTAATTATTTTATTATATAAATTAAAAATAAGAAATACATAAAGCTTACGCACGCCTCGCATAGTAAGACCGTGCCACTTTTTAAAACAATGATCCGGAGTTATATTCCAAGTCTTCATTAATTAGTGAAAATATTATGTTTACCAACATATTTTGGTGGTATTATTACTTTCTTTCATTCATTTTCACTTATTACCGTTTAATTGGGCATATTTATTAAAAAAATAATTATTAATATGAATATTTTATCACACTATCCTCATTAATTAATGTTCAGTATTAATTCTTAAAAAATAATTTCAAAAATAGTATTTAATGTTATAAATAAAACGTAGAAAAATAATTGTAAAATGAAAATTTATTTCAAAAATAGGGTGTAGTTAGTAGTAGTGGTTGATAAAGTAGTTGGTTACGTGGAGATAAACTAATACTACTAGTTACACTGCTTTCTCTCGAAAATGACATTACAGATACAAAACGCGTTCATCACTTGCCGTGGGCCCCACACTGACTTTAGTCTTTATGTAATAAATTAACACATTGACTAACCAATTACTCTAATCGGCATTTTTCACAAAATTTAACTTAATCATAAAACCTGTCCTTGAACAATATGTAATTGAACGAATATGTTATCAGTTAACAGTTTGATCTAAAAATACTCTTAAAGTTAATAGTTTAATTTAAAAATATTCATACCAATAATAATTAGATCTAAAAATATCCATATTATTATTTCGATTATAAAATACCTAAAAAGAAGTTGGAATTATGGAATCAAAGATAAACAAAGAAGAGTTTTTGAATTTATTTACCCCGTCCGTCCATATATCCTAATTTATTTTCTAACCATTTTAGGGGCTCAACTATAGGTAATTTGAGATAAATAAAGGATTCAAAATGATTTCTATTTTAAGTGAGTGGGTATGATAATAGAGGAGTACCTGAGTTATAATCGAAGAAGGTGGAGATATGTGCACGATGTTGTGACAATTGATAATTGACGGGAGAAGGTAGGCGTCCCATAGGACCGAGGGAGTAAATTAGTCGATTTGTGGGTGTGACTTGCGTGTTCAATTGAAAAGCCATATAAATCGTTGAATTCTGAGCTATAATGGAAGATGTCATATTCACCAATTGAAGATTCCCTTGGTCTGGCACAACCTCCGCCGATGATTCTCCACCTAGAAAATACCTTTTCATGGTGGAAGACCCATCGTTGCTTACCCATCCAACAATTGCACTCGAACCCACCATTTTCCCATCTTTTGAAAAACCCATCCCTATGAATGAATTGCTATTTGGTGCTGATATAACGAAACTCCATACTTTTCTATCCGTCTGCAGATACTGCAATCACAAACAAAAGAAATTAGTATGTATGTATGTATTAAGCCACTATAACAAATACTCTTCTACTTACTCTCAGTATATACCCTTGTTCATCCCATACTGAAACACAATGAAATGAAGAAATATCAAAGAGAGGTTTGTTTTTTAGGTTAAGACTGGAGGTACATGAATCTTCACTATTCACGTCTTGCACCACCACCAACAACAACAACAACGCAAAAACCTTCATCTCTTCTCTATCTTTACTAATAATAATTTTACATTAGATATATGATGCTCCATGGAGTATTAACTAGTCATTTCTTTATACGGAGTGGAGTGGGTACTCGACTATAATATTAACTAATTTATTTTTTAGTTTCTGCTAATAGTTGGCTACCAACCTTTACCAATTTAATATACTATCCAAAACTAAATGGCTTACCACTTTGTAATTCATTGAATAGGTAAATATTCACATATCAATGATTACAAGGATCAAGCTTGCAAAGTTACTAATAATTGAGGGATCAAAGGTGCAATTATCCCTTTGTTGGACTTGGCTGGCACCAATAGTAATGAAGGCGAAAGAAAAAAAATGATGTTATTATTGACATGAGATTCTGCATTTTTGCTTTGGCCTACCAATAACAATATCTCTTACACGCTAGTAGTTGGTAACACTCTTTCCGTAAATTAGTTTCTAATAGGAAGAAAAATAAACTTAACAGAATTCTCCTATCACCTCCAGCACCCAAACATACCTCACCAAATTCAAATATTTTACTTTCCTTTTCATGCTGCTTTTGATATGTTAACCTAAGGTCTAATTAAAAATAATTTTTCTAATAAAGTAAGACCCCACCCCACCCTTCCAAAAACATCTGAAGGAATTAAAAAGGGGTAATTAGTTCTGAAATTTTAACACAATATAAACAACTTCATGTGATTAAAAACAATGATAAAAGATTGCATAAAAGCACGTCCAAGTATACTTATAATATGATGGTCAAAAAGGAAAAATAATAATAATTTCAGCTACATCAATTAAAAGGAGTAATTTCACTCACTTTTTACCAGGATCATTAAATTTTTCTGTGTAAAGAAAAACTCGTCCAACTTAATGCAAGTATCACGAAATTACTAAACTACTTTATGTGACAAATGAATCGCTCAATTTTGCCTATTTATCATTCAAAACAACTCTTTTGTTCTAAAATATTCAGTCAAAGTTGAGTACTCAGGTAATGTTGAGTGACCGTCACTATAGTTTAATTATTTTGATGCAATAAAAGTGACCATACTTGAGAATAGCCCAGAACTAAACAAAAGGGAAAGAGAGGAACAATTTGTAGAACTGGTTTCAGCTTTCCTTCATTTTTCTAATGTTTCTTCTTCCTTTCCTCTTAGGATTGGTACAAAGGGTATTCCTGGTTGATCACTTGTACACATATTTTACTTCGTGAAGCCATTACGAAACGACTCAGACCCTAAACTTGCATTCCTTGCTAGTATTTCACTAAATTAATACATTGATTTGTACAAGAGAGCTGATTACATTGGTGAGAGACTACTTCCGCAAAGAAATGCTCTGTTGACCTGCTGAAGACACTGTTCCATTACTTACAGAATGGTGATGATCTGTTTTTACCCTCCGATAGAAAAGCACATAAGCAGCAGCAGACTTCACATCTTCTTCATTAATCGGTGATATGTGGCTGTCATCAAAGTTGTACCATCTATTTTCATCAAGAAGCTGCATGACAGAAAGACTAGCATATTAGAATGTACAACTCTGAGGATATATTTGCACAATTTTCATTTTTGAGAGATAATATTGATCTAATACATATTGCAACACAAACAAATCACATTGAGGTCTAGTACCAGGAGGCTTGTTACTGCGGCTGGAGGGATCTGTGACAACTGACAATAGAACAATGAGAGTTGTTTTTTTAACAAATTGAAAGATAACCTCCAATAAGGAAATTTTAACCAATTTCAACCTTCAATGAGATTGTATCCATGAATCATGATGACCTGACCACTTGGAAGAATTAATTACTGATTGCTCCATATCATTCTAATTTTAGACTAACATCAATGTAATGCAGTAAGAGAGAGCTGCCAGAAACTTCAATGAACTAAAGGAAGGATTAGAGACAACTACTTGCATATCAAAATTACGCACCTTGATATGTGCGGTGTAGTGCCCACTTCCCATCCCACCATAGTGATTTGTTAGTGCATACAGTTCATAGAGCTGACGTCGAGAGTTGTTCTTGTTGGCCACATATTTTGTCAAGTCAAAATCATGAATAGGAAAATTTACAAAAGTTTCCAGCTTATGCTTCATGGACCGGCTGTAGGAAAACCTCTTCAGGTGGATAACAAGCACTTCAGGAAGCCTCCAAAGATCTAACTTCTTACTTGCTTGTCTTCGCTCTTTGCATGTAGGACAATACCTTTAACATTTAAGCACAATAAATTGATATAATCAATCACTTGAAAAGGAAAAACATTGTATGAATAAACATCAGGCATATAATGAGTAAATAGATGTCCCTTTTTCTGAAAATTCTGGCAACATGAGCAATGAGAATAGGAAGAAACTAACCACATATCTTCAGGGACCAATGGCTCTTCACGTAAGAAAGCTTCCAAGCAACTGTACAATGAAAGAGGTTCAGTTCGAGCTTTTTTTGTAGCTGGTCCATACTTTGTGACTTCTGGCAAATTCTCTATGTAACGAGTATCATAATTTTCCAAAAGCTTCTGAGACCAATCAGCAAATACAAGTATTGACACTGACGATGAAGACAATTTGACAGATTTATCTTCCCCTACAGTTAGGTCAATGCATGCATTATTCTCATCAACCAATTGCAGAGGTAGTTTCTCCAAGTTCACCAATTTTGAGCTAGGCACATTCTTCTGTCTTGGATCATCATTTGCTAGACTAGAGTCTACACAGGCTTCACTAGAAGCGGCAAGACGGGATGCGTTGGCTGCTGCTGTCTTAGAGCGAGAAACACAGTTAAATCCTGGATTTTCTGTTCTTAGCATAGGCGAGAGCATTCTGTGAACTATCAGCTGTATATCGCCCCTTGTGATGACATCATCACAACAGATTGGTGAAACAAGAGGTGTTCCATAAGGCTTCCACCCAACAATACTTTGAGAGATACCAATTTCACTACAAAGAAAGAGGCAGCATTAATTAGAAGAGTGAAGATTGCATATATGTTCTTACTAAAATAGCATTTTGAATATCAAATATCAACAAGCGCCTTGGAGAATTGGAAAGAGACTGAAGAAAATAGGAAGTGCATAGTGGTGCAAACAAGTTACAAACTATGCATACCGTTCTTCCCGACGGTGGATTAGTTGAAGAAATTTCGAGTTCTTTATTGATTTTGGAATCTTGTAGGCAGCAAGGTGATCATCATCTTTTATAGAAGACAGAGATATTAGAGGATCTTCCAGAAAACGATGAATCAAATGACCGCGTATCTACGAGCAGCACAAGAAACAAGTGAATCCCAATTAGACATCAAGTCATGCTTAAATGGTAACTTGAGTGATCAGAGGACTAACCTCAGCAAGCATAAGTTTCTCATTTTGCTTTAAGGAACAAGAATTACCAAGTGCCTGAATCAAGTCCCTGCAACGTCCCTGCTTTGGTACAGTAACTGTACAGGCAGCTGGCAGTGCACTTCCGTCACAAGTGAAAATTGTTACTGTCATACTACGGGTTGTGGCAGATTGAAGCGGCAAGGAGAGATACATGAATGGGTCAAATGTTACTGAGACTTTATTACACACAGGACACACTAGAGTTGACTTGTATTGGCCCTGTAAAACAGAGAGGACATGTAAATTCCATAGCCATAGAAGGGTAAGGAAAATAACATTCTTAATAGTTTTTGTTTATTTTCTTTCTTCCCTTTTTAGTTTACATAAGTAAATACTAGTACTACTGAAGCTATTAACAGTTTTTACATGTCAGACTCTGTAGAGAGACTAGGGGGGGGGGGGGGGGGTAGATTTTGCTCTTGAAGGGCTAAACAAAATTGAAACTGCTTGCTTGAGGAATGAAAATAGCCCTTGATATTTTTGAAGAAAGAAAACCTGGACTATAACAGAAGTACAGTACAGTAAAAAAAAATGTCAAGCTTAGGTCCACATTTTATCATTTCAAAGGAAAGTGAACTTCACAGAAGCAGAAATATATAGCAAATCAAAGATCAAGCAATTCATTTAGTTGTACACAACTAAGTTGCTCGGACTTGGGTGCCGGTGTAGATACAGGTGTGGATCTAGAGGCCGGATCCTTCATGATCCAAAAGTTTTAAGATTCGGGGGTATGGATCCAGGTAAGGATACGGGTAAGGGGATTCGGCCAAACATAATTCAAATTTCAAATATCGCAAAATAGAGTTATATGTCTAAATTATGAGACATTATCTGAAAAAACTTACAAGGTATTCCGAAGAGTATTGACCAAGAGGAGAATCCTAGAAGATAAAAAAGAGAAAAAGACTGACATGCAAATTTCTATATACAAGCTTATTTTATTTACTTCAATTTCACCTAAGCTTTTGTTTGGATAACAGAAATCATAGGTATTTGTATCGAATTTCTCTGTCGATTTTGGTCAAGGTATCCAAAATCAATTGACCAAATCATGTACGAATTCCACACCCACGTTGTGTTGATACAGGTGCGGCATCAAAAATGAAGAGTCCCAGAACTTAAGTTCACAGTTAGATCAAGCAATCTTCTAAATAATAAAATTTCTGTCTCATCCAACTAGTCAATTGAAATGATTAGCGCAGAAGCAAAGTGTATCACCCATCATTAGTCAGGTATTAACATTTTCTCACAATATGTTACTCACTTGGCATACATCCACAATTATGGAATCATTTCGGGCAATGTGATTTGCCCAATATTCATCAGCAACTTCTTCATCAGGTCGGCCATCTGCATCTTTTGATTTTATGTAAGGCTTGTGTTTAACACGATTTAAGTCTTCGTGAAGTCCATCCAACAAAAACGCAAGGAGTTCCTGAAGAGAAGAACTTTGAGTGTAAAGGAAGCCCTATTCATAGAAGGTTAAAGTGGTGATAATTTCTGATAATTTACTCCACCTGAGAGTCATGCTGGTTGTATCCACTAAATTGTGGGGCAAAGCGAGCAAGCTTTGCCTTAAAAGGACGAGGGGCGACTGGAGTTCGCCCTGGTGCCCACAATTTTCGTAGTAAATCACCAAATGCTAAAGCCAGCTCACCCTACACATTTAGATTAAAAGTCAAAAGTCAATAAATTTTCCAACTAAATTATTAATCAGAAAG